GGGCCTTTTTTTTTTATTTCTTTTCTAGTTTCAATTTTTTATTTTGTCTAAAAGGATGTTGACATTCTAATGTTTATTATTTCTTTTGCAGATATGCTCTTGGGAATTTTGTGCTCGGCGTCATGAGGAGCTTATCCCAAGAAGACTGTTAATACCTCAGGTTACTGATTAAATAATTGCTGTTACAATAAACTTGGTTAGACCGAGGGATTTGGTTGATTGATTAATAAATTGATTCCAGCAAATTTTGTCAAACTATTCAGTAATCTACTAATGAAAGGTAGTTTATATCCTTTATTGGTAGACTTCACATATTAGTATCATATGGCTACCGCAAGTCCTGAGATTTTTACTTGGATAGATGTTTGCTGAGCACCATACAATATGGATTTTGGTTTCGCTGCATAATAATTCTAAAATTCTTTTTGCAATGCTGACATTCACGTCATAGAGTTGATGACAAAGTGATGGGCGCGAGTGCAAATTTAGAATGTTATTGTTGCTTTATGGTTGTTCACTATCTTATTTATGTATTTATCTTTGTTATTCAGGTTAGTCAGCTTGGAGCTGCTGCTCAAAAATACCAGTCTTTTACTCAGAATGCAACTCCTAATTTATCTGTTCCTGAGTTACAAAATAATTGCAATATGTACGTCCTTTTTGTTGTGCTTGATTTATGTAGCTTTCTTTGTGGTGGTTGATGGTTTATAATGATTCCTGAGAAACCGGCTACTGCATCAAATCTGCTCTAGACTTTAAATATTCCGTATACTGATTGTTTCAAAACTTTCTATACTGAGACTCTGGCATAAGCCACAGATTATTCTCCTCGAGTAAAAGTAAAAGGATTACAGCTTTTTTTCCCCCTACTTGGAGAAACCATTTATTGGAAAATGTTGGTTGCTACATCTTGCTTGTTTCATTTGTAGTGCATTCTGGCTTTTGGTCTGACTCTTTGGAAGTTTGTTAGTCGTGGTTAGGTTCCAATGGGCTTCTTGTGATTTATGTATTTTTTTTCCAGGTTTGTTGCATCAGCTCGTCAGCTTGCAAAAGCCCTAGAGGTGCCATTGGTTAATGATTTAGGATATACAAAGAGATATGTGCGGTGCCTGCAGGTAAATCATTGTTTATCACTTTTGTTTCCTGAACTTCTTTCATGGTACCATGACCTCCCCTGATGATATGCTATGCTGGAATTCTTTTTGCACTGACCGTTTGAGCAGGGGATCCTTTTTTCAGGGTCTTGCAAGCTTTAGCAACTGATCTTTTTTAAATTTATATTCTACGTTCTCTTTCCTGGATTAATGTTAGGGTTTTTTCTCCTTTATGTAATATGGAATTTGTGCCCTGTAATGGTGGTTACTGAGGTTATGATGTATGTTTTCTAAAAAATTATTGTATTTTTTTGAAGTAGTTGTGAAGGCTTACATTCCTTGCTAGACTCATGTTTTTGCCAAGAAGAGAGAATGAGACATTTTCTCTTGCCATGATAAATTGGTTAGATTATCTATGAATTTATCACAGAGGGATCTGCTGAGTTAACTTGACAAACTTGTTTCCTGTTTCTCTCTTTCGTTGGATATGTTGCAGATATCCGAAGTGGTAAATAGTATGAAAGACTTGATAGATTACAGCCGAGAAAAAGGGATTGGACCTATGGGTAAGTTTAGTAAGTTTGCTTGATCGCAAATATGGATATGTGAACATGTTTGCCGAAATATTATGTTATATTGAGAGGGCATTGGTAGTCATTCAATCACATACTTATTTGCAATGTTCATTACCAGTCATAAAATTTAGTATTATTTGTTATTTAGTAAAGTTAGGAGCCTTAATTAATTAATTTGTTTGTATTGTGTTCATAGTTTATAATATATAATTGTAATTATAATTCAATTTATTATTACAATTATAATTATATTTTGTTTGGATATCCACATTTTGTTAATTCTGACAAAAGTTTCCTGCATAGTGGGTGATTATAGATACTCTCATCCAATCTTTTCTAAGCTATGCTTGGTAATGGAATCATTTCTAGCAAAAGGTTGTATCTGCCTGTTGATTTGAATAGTTCTAATTGTGAATTTTTCGAGGCTTCTAGCTTATGGTTATTATGTACTAGAGTACATTGTGCTGAGAGCCACAAATTGATGGTTCCTTTCTTTTTTATCATTCTGGTATAAAATTGCTTTATATTTTTGACATTCTTCTGGAGTGGTTTATATATTTCATTTATATGATGAAGAGCTCCAAATACAGCAAGAGAAAATCCAACCATTTTACTGAGATTATCATGAGATGTCCAATTGGAAGCAATTAGGTCTGCAGGTTATTCTGGACAGTGAGGGATCTAGGGTCATGAAGTTCCTTATATATATAATGAGGACACATTGGTTGAAGCTTGTTCATATCCTCTTCTAAAAATTGCTCTCAAAAGCTTAAGTTAACTGCTATTAGCTCTATATCTGTTACGAGATTGTATCCTAAGATATTTCTTATCGGGATATTTGGGACTCAAGTTATTGATGGGGAATAAAAGATTAATGGAGATAAAATCAAGCATAGTTGAGCATGCGAATTACTATCTCTGGTCTTTGGTAAGGGTCACATTTTAGAAGGTTTTCATGGTCCTAAATATTTATACAAGTCACATTGCAAAATGTCTACGGCCTTAAATTCTTTTCCCACAAATTCCCTTGCACTGGAAACTGATTTGTTGATTTTCTCTTCTAGAAAAATGTTGATGTTAAATTTAATGGGTTTAATTAAGAGCTATCTTTGAAAGTGGTGTTTAAATTTGAAAAATTTAAGAACATAAGAAGCTTTTAAGATGGTCTTCTTGATATGTGTGAAGTAGTTGAAAGTGACTTCCCATTAGGAGGGAGTAAATATTTGTGGAATTTTGGTTGTATAGTTGGGAGAAAAATGGGCATATGCTCATGTTCCTCCCATGTTAGCCTGAAGGTCTGATTTTTCTGGACTGCTGTAAAGATGAGCATTAGTGCTGTTAGCTGACAGTGAATCATATTAATTGCAGACAACCTAATTCATCAGTTGTCTTGTTTCATGCCTTGTGCCCTGTGCTTGCTGCTGGAGTTCCTTTTGGTCTATTGTCCATGCTTTTGTGATTAGATTTAGAGTCTATAATGGGTGGGTTGAAGGTCAATTGGCTGGTAGACGTTGGGAGAGGTGAAATATTTAAATGTTGTGTTTTCATGTCTCGGTGGGGATGATTTTGTGTCCATGTGTCCATGACATGGGCAGCTAAAGTAGCATTGACGTCTCTTTGAAATACCATAATCTCATGTTCTGATTCTTTGCTAATTTTTTGCGAGGGTGTTACTCATGTTTGATCTCAATATTGATAATTGAATGTCCTCCTTAGACCATGATTATACTTTCATTCTTGCCATTTCTCAGAAAGCTTGGCCAAATATCCTCGGAGAACTGGTAGTTCATCTGGAGTTAATGGTCAAGCTCAACTGCCTGAAGATCAATTACCACATCCACAGCAGCAGCAGCAGCAGCAAGTGGTGGCCCAAAACTCAAATGGTGATCAAAACTCGGTGCAGCCTGCTGCTGTGCAAATAACTTCTAGTAATGGCGTGGCTAGTGTAAATAACTGTATCCACTCAGTATCTGCATCGACTACTCCAAGCACCATTGTTGGACTTCTTCACCAGAACTCCATGAATTCTAGACAACAGAATTCCATGAATAATGCCAGCAGTCCATATGGAGGTAGTTCTGTTCAGATGCCATCCCCAGGTTCTTCCAGTACTGTGCCACCAGCACAGCCAAATCCGTCGCCCTTTCAAGCGCCAACACCATCCTCATCTAGCAATCCACCACAAACTTCTCACTCATCTTTAGCAGCCGGCAATCACATGAATCCATCTAATTCACCAGCTAATGTTTCCTTGCAACAGCAGCAGTCATCCCTTTCTGGTGAAGCTGACCCCAGTGATGCTCAGAGTTCAGTTCAAAAAATCTTATCTGGGATATACTCCCAAAATAATGGCACGGATGGAATGGTAGGTGTCGGTTCTTTTGGAAACGATGTCAAGAATGTGAATGGGATTATGTCTGTGAGTACCAATACAGGTCTCAATGGTGGAAACTGCCTGGCTGGCAATGGGCCTGTGAATGGCAATTCATGTGCTGGAGCTGGTGGCTATGGCACAATGTGCGTTGGACATGGTCAATCTGTCATGGTCAGTGGGATCAGGGCTGCAATGGGAAACAACTCTATTATCAATGATAGGGGAGTAATGGCAGCCATTGCTCGAGACCAAGCTATGAATCACCAGCAAGATTTGTCAAACGAACTACTTAGTGGACTAGGAGCAGTAAATAGTTTTAATAATCTTCAATTTGATTGGAAATCTTCCTCATGAAAGGCTTTGCGGATATATGGGTGTTCTGGTTCTTGACAGCTGCTTGTGCAGCAAAGCACGGTAGACCTGCCTTAGGCCTCCCTTGTGATGGCAGGCTGCGATGGCGTAGTTATAGGGCATAGGATCAAGGCCTGCCTCTGTACTAATCTGTTATTTGCTATGTAAAAAATGAAAATCTGCTGGCTGGTTTTGTGGCTGACGGGTGTGATTTTTCTTGTGAATTCAAATGTAACTTTAATTTCCCCCCAATCTCCGTGGCTTTGAAAACTTATACTTGACACAACACATTCACGTACGCAGAGACTGCGGGTGGTTATTAGGAGACTGCACTTCTTGTCTTGGACAATATCCCAAGTAATAACGATTTCCTTTACTATGTCCGGAGAGGCATAGAGAGAGAGAGAGAGAGAGAGAGAGAGAGATTTCTTCGAAATGAATTGCGAGGGATCTTTTCCTGCATGCTGAATTTGAATATTCGATTTTTTATCTATTAGTCATGCTTGGCAACATTTGATATATATATTTTTAATTGGGCCAGCGGAGTACCATATTTGAATGGAATCAATTGATGATCGTTTGTTTTCTACTATCACTCGAAATACATGGCATCGGTGAAGTCCGATGTGGAAAAACGGTGGATGATTTATACAAAACAAATCTTGACAGATGTTCGAATAAGAAGAGAGAAGAGACTGAACATTTTCCTCAGTGCAAAGGGAAAAACAGAGGGTATAAAGATTATCTGTGTTGAATCCAGGAAAGGAACGATCGTCCCGATAAACTAATATTAGCTCTCAATCGAAGAAAATGAGAAATAGCAACGGATCTAAAATCTCATTGCAATTCAATTCCAGTTCCTTCTTGTGGTTCAGATATCTAGATATTTCTCCAGAGTCGCGGACAAGGTGGACTTGGGGACCGCGCCAATTACGCTTTCTTTTTTCTCACCATTCTTGAAGAAGAGAACTGTTGGTATGCTCCTGATTCCGTATTGTGTGGGTATGTTTGGACTGTCATCGGTGTTGAGCTTGTAGCATGCAATTTTGCCGGCATACTCTTTAGCCAATTCATCAATCACAGGAGCTATCATCCTGCACGGTCCGCACCATGGTGCCCAAAACTCCACCAGCACTGGGGTCTCACTTGCTATCACCAGGTTATTCCAGGTCGAATCCGTCACTGCCCGAACTGCACCATTTCATTTGTACGTCACCATCATCGTCAGACAGAGAGAGGGCTTAAAGAATGAATTCAAATCCTATTGAATTATTTAATTAAAAATAAACAATTAAAAATGCAACTAGTATAATCGGTACGTGACACGCCAAAGCCATGCTCAATATATACCTTTGGCGTACCTTCGGGGTTCAAGAGACTGAAATATTGATGGGGAGTTTAGATAACAAGCCGTGTCAAAGAAGGAAATTTCTAGTTCCAAAACAACAACAACAACAATAAATGAGGTTGGGAAGCAGCAGAGTTGGCGAGCTACCTTCGTTAATTGCTTCTCGGGCATTGCAAATAAAACGGGATCTTCTGTAATTACTCGTCGTTAAGTTAAGAGAGGGGTTTGATACTGATGATTGGGATCCTTTGAAACTGGGGCGGGCAAGCTTTTGCCTCAAGGAAAATGGATGAATGCATTGAGGTCTGGCCATACCCACTGTGCTCACTCGTAAACAGTTCTCCAGAGCCATGCTTGCTTCTGTCTTTCTGCTGTAATTCTTCACTGAAATGGTTCCGCAGGCTTTTCCTCCTCCTCCTCTTGTAATTACTTGATATTTGATTGATTCCACAAAATTATATTCAAGAAATATGTCCGTAAGTGGATATCAATGCAAGATTGTGAGGTGTTCAGAAGGCTGGAATTCATGTGGACGTCATTTATTTATTGAAACCTGATCGACTCTGAAGTTTATCCAACTCTCAGATATTTTCCAAACCCATTGGAACCAGAAACACAATATAGCTGGCCGAAACAAATACTGAGAAGTAACACGTAATCCACGCATGCATTGACTTTGATTCCTAAGCGCTAAACTATCAATAATTTAGTTATGCTTTTTAACCATTAATTTCAATTGATAAAAAGACAAATAAGGGGGACAACACGTGTAAACAAACTAATGAAAGCTAGCAGTTGCAGGTGACATGATCCTCCGAGGCCAGTTGGGCCCATGCTTTTGAGAGAGAATTATAATTAGAATCAAGGGCCTTAGTGGGTGGTGACATCAAGCTTTCAAGTAGTCATCTTGTAGTTCCAAGCATGAGGGCACATCCTTTCATTTGACAGCAACCACATCTCAACATGGAATTGTGGCCTCACAACTCTAACCAACTAGCTTCACAACCAAACATGTTAGGGTTGCTCCATTACGTCATCCTGAGATCTCTCTCTGATATGGAGAGGGGCAACATGCGGTCGATGATTGGGGGACTTGTTCATGACCAGTTAGACCAACAATTTGAAGATGCCTATGCATTGCAACAAGCATTTGTGATCGTGACCAATCAGAATCGCAGCTGATGGTCCACTTCTGTTTTTGAACAAGGCTTCACATTCTCCCTTCCCAGTCAAACCTAATATTCTGCATTTCTCCGTCTCTTCTGTCCTCTAGACTGCACAAGCGTCCTCCACATCCCTTGCTCTCTGTCTCTGTCTCTGCGTCGCAGCAATCACAATCCTCTCCCGCGCTGTTTGTTCCTTCTATTCTGGTACTTTCTCCCTCGCCAATGCATTGTTCGCCGGACCAGAACCCTGCTTGTTCCTTCTATTCTGGTACTTTCTCCCTCGCCAATGCATTGTTTTTTTTTTTTTTTTTCGCCGGACCAGAACCCGAGTGCTTAACCCTTTAGGCCTTTTCCCCTTTCCGGGTCGGATTTCGGGTTTAAGCCCATTAGCGTTGAGCCCAAGTGTTACACCTTTAAGGCTTTAATTAACGCCTTCTTCGACCGATTGTTGTTAAACCCTAACGGACTCAACGGATTCGACCTCAGTTCCTGACCTTCGATTATTGGGCAAGAACCTCAAATCTCAAATCTTCGCTTCATGGTCTTTTAAGACCGGGTTTTGTTCCTAGGAAGGAATACAGATTCTAAAGAAGCATTTTCTTTTCGAAATTGCTAAAGCGGTGATTTTTATTATTATTGTTATTATTAACAAGCATCCATCACTTTCGAGGGAGAATGCCACATAGAAGTGAGGGCGTGCGTGGCGACGAAGATGATTCCACTATTGATGATCAATGCAGCACTTACTTCGATGTCTATGGCCCTCAAGTAATGTTTCCGTCTTTCTGCGGTTATATTCATCTGGAATCAGAATGCATCTGTTTTTCCTGTGCAGCTGTATAGGGTTTGGTGTTTCTTCATATCCCAAGTGAACTTGGTTAGCTAAGTGGCCATGATGCTATAGCTTTTCTTTCATGAGGTTTTGTTCAATACGTTTTGACACAACTCGGATTACTTAATCTGGCATGCTTTTCCAGGGCAAGGCTGATGTTATTTTTAAAACAACTGAGGCTAATTCAACTTTGAATCTTCAGGTAGGTTCTTATGACTACACAAAATTTTTAGTTTGATCAGCTAATTTGTCTCCGCGTTTGTGTTTGAAGCAGGACATTCAAGGACTGGTAACTTGGGTTCTTGCTGAAGGATTTATGCCGTCATGGGTTTTCATTAGGGTGATGATACATTCCTCTTCATCTTTTACTTATTTTTAATCAATATATGGGCAACAGAATATATGGCCATAATAATTTTAAGCAATTGCTAATAATATGCTTCAACGTAGAACATCTGAGTGAATACTCCATGTGGAGAATTGTAACATAGCGAGAGGTTTCATTTAGGAGCACTCTTTTGAATTAAGTTCCATGAAATCCTTTACTCAACTAACTGTAAGTCTTTAACTACACATGCAATGGCACAAGATCTGATGGTGTTGCCCTTAATATCATAAATCATCTTGTTACAGCCAGATGTTTCGTCATACACCTGTGTATGCCGTGGTTAGTTGGGAGTCCTGTAACCAAGAATCTTCTCAATAGAACTTATCCTGCTCTAGGAAACTTCATTTGACATCCTTGTTTTTTGCCTTAGATTGTTTGTCTTGGATTCTTCCTTTTCATGAAAGCCTTTCGAGCCACTTCTTTTGTCTTTGATTTTATGAATTCATTTTGGAAGAGCAAGAACATTTTGTTTTCTTATGTGGTTTTATGTCCTGTTTTGGGAAATATCTTCCTCACCGAACTACACATCAGTTTCAGCTCAACTAATCATTTGTCTTAATTCCGCTGATTGGACATGGCCTTGCTTGCAGGCACAACTTTTTATATATTATTTAGTTCATTGGGCTATAATTACTTATGTAACACTCTCAATTTGCAGAACAAACCTCTTATTCAAAAAGTGGTTATGCTCTATACACCAGGCCTGGATGCAGCTTTGTACTTGTCACAGTCTAAAATGCTGCCCTTTTTAAAAAAATTCTGTGGCAATCCGAAGGCAGTCTTAGCTCTTAGGTCTGTAGAAAAAGTGTTCGCTATTTATCTTAAAGCATGCTGTTCTTTTGGAGGGTCTCTAAATATCTATTTTGTGGTTAGCTGTGTTTCAGATGGAATGCAGACAATAGATGCACTCCTTACGTGCAAGCTGAAAAGAAAGAGGGATGAAAGTAGTTCAGTTACAGAGAAATCAACCCTGATATCTCTGCAAGGTCTTCAGACTTTAATTATGAAATTATCATTGAAATCTCCATTAGCTAAGCAAAATTAAATGCTGCATGGAGCTACTGAGAGTTCCTATTTTCTAGAGGGAGCTGTATGTGGGGAGAAGAAAGGCCTTAAATTTTAATGAAGGCCGGGTTTGAAGTATTGTGTATTCCAAGCTGTTTAATTGGCATTAAATAATATCCTCCCAATATGTCTATATGGCTTGAATTCCTTATATTGTGAATGCCTCCCTCTAAATTTTCCTATACTTGTTCTTGAGGAATATAGATTAAATGATTAGCTAGCTGTGCTCTAGCATTGATTTTGATATGATTTTTTAAGTTTTCATCACCCTTCCAATATTTAAAGGAAGAAATGTTTATATTATGATTCTGCAAATACAGACGAAGGCCTTATGATTGTCTATGCTTGTATATTTTCTTTTAAATATGATAATTATTTTAATAAAATAGAAATTATGTACCTTTTTTTTTCCTGGTTATAGTCAGTTTTGCTTGTGATACTGCTGACATGAACATTCTGACACGGAGTTTCTTTGTAAACCTGTTGTTTGCTGTTAACTTACATGATGGCATCGTTCTTCCTTGTAAAGCAATTTTGTTACTTGCAGGCTATAAACTTTGCTCACTGCCATAAGATTTGTTGTCTTCGTGCAGAAAAAAGCAGTGGTGGTACAGATAATATATCGTTTATGGAGCTTACAGAAGGCATTCCTTTCCCTGTTACATACTATACACTTACTGAGAAGGAATTTGAAGACAATGGATATTCATTTAAACAGCCAGGTGACTTCCACGCTATTGTCATTACATATGCTCATTTATATGACTTGTATTTTTGTTTGTTTATGCACTCACTTGACATTTTCCTCACCTTTTGGTTAAGGTTTTCTTGCTACTTTGCCTGCTCCTTTGGGATCTTCTCCCTATGAAATGCTGGCGCTTGATTGTGAGATGGTAAGTTAATGAATGACAATTTGGGATAAAAATAATGCTTGTAACATAGAAAGCGATGTTGACTTATGTTTTTATTTAGATGCTTTGCTTATTTGTTGTTTCTCTTTTTTTTAGTGCATCACAAGTGAGGGCTTTGAACTTACAAGAATTACTCTAGTGGATTTTAAAGGACAGGTATCTACTGAATTTTTGTTATGGTTTGCCTTCTGCTAAATACATGCATCTTTATGAGGAATGATTTTCTGGTACTATGTTAATTTCAATTTTCATTACTTTTTCCCCCATCTCAAAGGATTTACAAAAGTCCTCGTTGATTCATGAAAATAATTAATTTTTAATGCACCACTGTGGATATTTCCTCATTTGTGGAACTCTGGCTTTTATCCTTTCAGGTCGTGCTTGATAAATTGGTTAAACCATCAAACGCTATCATTGATTACAATACCAGGTGAACTGTTTGAACTATCAATAAACCACTTCAAAAGTGGGATGGTTTAAAATTTTGGGTACACAATTCCTATTGAACCTAACATATTTTAATATCACATTCTTCATTTCCAACAAATTAGTGTGCATAACAAATCGCTTTTGATCACAAAATAAAAAAAAAAAAACTTTTGATGCTTCTTTACCCTTTTGTTGCTGTGGAGTGTGGATGACTGAGCGATCTAACAGTGTGGTAGAGGGATTCTATATATGTAACAGAATGCTTCTCTCTTTCTTTTTGTCTTATCGCAGGGTTAGATTAATACTTGACCCAGATCCTCATCTCATTGCAATATCTTGTAATAAGACTTAAAATTTATTGTGTAGTTGCAAAGAATATATATATATATATATATGAACTTCTATTGAGTTGCAGATTTTTGTGAGCAGAGAAAGGACGAGGACATGTAACATTTTGCTGTTTCTTAGGGCTCTAATTCCCAGTCTAGGGCTACTATAGTCTAATTCAGATTGGAAACAAAGCCAAGACTAAAGTTTAAAAAAAAAAGAACTAACAGAATAAAACAGATGGAGGGGTTAAGAAATAGAGCTAAATATATAGTTTGATCACCTTATCATCCCAATGGATATGATTGATGGTTTTCCTTATATTCTGTTGCCCCAACCCCGTGAAAAAGAAGAGCTGATTACAAGTGTCATCAGTGAATAATAGTTGTGTTCTGTGCAGGTTTAGTGGTATAACACCTGAGATGTTAAATGGGGTCACAACAAATCTGAAAGACATTCAGGTTGTTGCTTAAGTGGGTTTTGTTCTTTCTTATTCTCGCGTTGATAATCTGTGCCACTAATTGTTGTTACAATTCTTATTCATGGCAGTTGATTTTTTTCCTGTGCTGATCTATTTTCATTTGCTTTCCATATTCAGGATGAATTTCTAAAGCTGGTTTACCAAGAGACTATTCTGGTTGGGCATTCTTTAGAAAATGATTTGTTAGCTCTGAAGATCTCTCATGATTTGGTAATTGACACGGCAGTATTATACAAACACTGCCGAGGGTCATCTCATAAAACTGCTCTGCGGATTCTTGCCAAGAAATTTCTCTCTCGGGAAATACAGCAATCAGGGAATGGACATGACAGCATTGAAGATGCTAGAGCTGCATTGGAATTGGCACTATTGAAGATCAGACATGGCAAGTATTTCTTTTGTATGCTTTAATGTTGCATCATCACATGTGATGTAAATTATAAAATAGTTTTGAGGACATATGCTGTATCTTTCAAAGTGGACGCTATCTTGTTCTGGATTCAGATACAATGAGATAAAGTTCTCTTGAATTGTGACGAGATCTGCTGGTGAAGCAGTCAGGTATCGAGGGATAGTGTTAATTCAGGCCAACACGTGTTTTTTGTACATATAGATATAGCTATCGGCTTTAACTTGGTTTGTCTTATTTTAATGTGGTCATCATCGCTGCTTTGACATGCCAGTGATTTCATTTTGTAAACAGGACCTGACTTTGGTTCTCCCCCATCCTTCATGCGGAAAAAGCTCTCTTCCATTTTGAGCGAGTCTAAAAAAACTTCCTCTTTAGTTGATAATATATCTACAGTAAAACGATATGCTTCTGAGTCGTCCAATGCGATTCCAGTGACTTCTGATGATGAAGCGCTTGCAAGGACCACCAAGGAGGTAAATGTCATGGATTTTTAGTAGGCTACATCTGCTATTTTCCTCCTGTTTGCTTACAAGCTTGTTTGATGTGTTATTGATTACAGGTGAAAAATGACAAGGTACATTTTATCTGGACACAGTTTTCAGAATTACATTCATACTTGAAGAAGCAAGCTGAGGATTCAGAGATCTTGAATAAAAGACTTGCTGAGATGATGTCACTGCTTACTTGTAAGAAGAATTCTGCTAAAGGTAAAGACATCAAGCTGAGAGCAACTACTGAATTGAAGGAAATTCTAGGTCGCATGGATGCTAGAATTGAAACTCTATATAAGTCGTTACCGTCTAATGCTATGCTGATAATTTGCACCGGTCATGGAGACACAGCAATTGTGCACAGGTAGGTGTTTCTTTTCTCATTATTCTAATTTCTGTTGGTTTTTACACATTATCTGAACGTCTTTTATTAATTTAGGGGTAAATATTTGACCCGAGTACTATTCCCAATCATTTCGTCATGTTTCATTTTTTCTCAATTGCGTATGCGGCAAGTTTTTGTTATCATAGTACGGGACTTACATCAACCTTAGTCACTGGGGTTCAGGCTGGCTGATTTACTTATTTAATTTAGATGTTTGTTTCGAATAAAAAATTGATTGTTTGTTTTGCTTGTTCGCCTGCATGAAAGACTCAGGAGAATGCTTGCCGAGCAGGGCGAAACCACGATATGTCGTGAGAAGATTGTGGAAATCCTAGAAGAGGTTCAGGCTCGAGCGGAGGTAGCCTTGTGTTTTTTAGGTGTGAAGCATTGATTATAACACACAATGAACAGAATTTGTTCTTGAGACCTTGTTGCGAGCGTCCGAAATAGATAGTAATAGTTGTGAATGTAAATATTGATAATTTTATTCAGATAATTGAATAGTAATATTAATAATTTTGTTGCTTGCCGGACACCCATCCGTTTTTTTTTTTTGGTCTCCAATTACGGGGAGGATAAAGGGCCATCAAGTGATCATGTTTTGCACTCTGTTTACTCCCTGCGTTTGTTTCTTATTTTTCTTACACTGGGCAAGAAACTCTTCACTTGTCTGGTCTTGGTTTAGGTTCAAAATAAGAATGTTATGGCCGTCTTGCGTTTGTTTTTTGGCATTTTTCTTCTTTAGGGGGAAATAAGCTTGTTTACGGATTCTGGTCGAACAATTGCTTATTAGTTTGTTGTCCTAACGGAGTTTGAAATTTTGTTTCTTCTTTTTTTTTTTATCAAGTGAATTTTTGTTTCACAAGTGTAAAAGCTGGCTGAAAGCAACTGAAATGTTATTCTAATGTTTGCTGAGCGAGAACGCTAAAGATTTTCAGGCAGTATGTTTAGAATCGGATGTTTTTATTAAAGACAAGTTGGCATTATAAATTTCCTATAGTTTTCAAGCCTAATTTGCTCCTGCTTGCCTCGCCATAGCCCGAGAGGAATGTTTTCTGGTTGTCAAGTTGAATTGTACTGTATACGATTTTATGTCTCATTTTTACTCCATTCTGTTTTTCTTAACCTTCTAAATATTTTTCATCTATTTTATCCATACAACTATTTTTAATTCATTCAATATTTTATACATATTTTTGTAGGATTTGAATGTTAGAAAGATGACTGCAATATTTGTACAAGTTTATGAAATAATTTCTTTCTATTTTCACAAGAAAAAATATAGTTTGCATAACAATTAAGGAGATTGATAAAATGTTTTGTTTAAATAGATAACTAGAAGTTGTGTAAATTGATGTGTATTTGTTTTTTTTTTTGGTTATTATAGTTAAAGACGTTCTTAAATTCCATCAGGATCAAATCATTACAAGAAACTAATTACAAAATATTTCCTTTAAAAAAAATCATTTTTTTTTAAAAAAAATTGGTACTATCTCAAAATCAAGTACACATCAAGAAGCAAAATTAATTGATGATGTTGACAAACGCCAATGGCAATAAAAGCCATAAAACCATATATAAACGGTCAAATAATTTGACACGTCTTGATTAAGCCAAGGTTGTAGTGACTTGTATATTGGTCTGCATCTGAACTACGCTAAGCCCCCTTGCTTTGGATGGGACAAACCCCCATCCCCTCCAACCAAACATGGTAAACGTACACTGATTAATTAAAGAAGTAAATACTACAAAACAAGTATTAGAATAGAATGACCCTGCCTGGTTAAAAGAATCATGCTCATCACCTCCACGCCGAAGCTACTATCAAGTTCTTGTCTTCCCACCCAAAATGAAGTGCCCCCATTTCCTCCCTCATCTTGTACCTTTCACAATACTGCCTAACGAGTTTTCGTATTGAGTCAGTCACGTGACTGCTCAATGGGGACGAAGTGAAGCCTGCCATAGCCATCCTCGCTATCCATTTCCCAGCAACTTCGTACCTTTCGATCCGATCCTCACCGTCGCATGCAACAATGTTGACAATGTCCCTCGCTAAGCATTGCCTCTCAACATTCATCCTGTCCCGACTCTCCCTGGGAAGGGTTGCATCAAGCGACTCAAAAACAGCAGAGTAATAATTGTAGGCTTCCACGAATCTTGGGAAGAAAGGGGTGGTGTTAGTGTTCACATCCTGTTCGACAACTGTTACGAGTTTTGGATTAAGGCTCTTAACCATGCGGAGGAGTTGGTCTCTCTCGTTCACTGTGGAAACGCTCTCATCGGGCATGTGATGCAGCTGGAACGCAAAGTTCACCATAAGTGCTTCACCAGGGCGACATTTGAGCATTGAAGGGGTGACAAGGGATGTCCTCGATGGCACTGCTCGAAACTCGAACGGAAGCCCCAGTACTTCTGCCAGCTTCTCAAGTCTTTCTCCTATGATCTTTAGGCCTCCAACAGATCTCTGGACAGACTCTGGATCATCAACTCCAGTCAATCTCACGTGGGGAGGCTTGCCTGGCCTTGAAGCGAGTGTTTGTAGTAGAGTTATGTATTGGCTTCCCTGGTTGATGTCAAAATCAACTATATGGACCTCGCTTTCGTCTTTCACTGCCTCTGTGATTGCACCATTTGCAGCAATGAATCCAAATTTAAAGCATGGGCACACTTCAAACAATATCTGCATTGCTGCCAGACGATCTGAAGAAGGAGGTTCCTTGCATTTCAGAGCTTTGTAAATACACTTGCCAGACTCAGCCAGGCGAGCTGCAAGTCCTTCCACCATATAGGCTGCAATTCTTTGGGGAGGATCTCCCTGAATTGAGACCATCTGACGCAAATTATTTATCATAGACGATGCCACCTCTGCGTTTCCTTCTGAAAGTAAACCTGCACATTCAAGAAGCAATTGCCTGGGGGTCCGAGGAGAGATGTGAGATACTTCTTTGTTGCTACTGATGCTACTAAGATTAGAATCTGAGGATGAAGACTCCTTTGGTGAGTCATGAAGCTGCATATTCTTAATTGGATCAGCCCACGCAGGGTCAATTTCCATGCTTTGAGCAGTCTCAAATATGTCTTCCTCATCATCAAGCAGAGCCCTCTCTAATTCCCGCAGTTTTAATCTCATTTGACCGTTAAAGTCAAGGGCATCCAATGAAATGGAAGAAGTATCAAATTGGTTATTAGCGATCATAGAAGCTCCTGAACTAGCTCTGGGCTGGTATGGAGAAGCATCATCCTGGCGAAATGAATTGCTTAAGACGCCAGAACTAGATGGTTCTATCAGTTCTTCTGCTGGCAAATCATGGAAGTACTTCTCATAACTCTGACTGGAGTAAGAATCTGTCATGTACATGCTTCTCTGCTTATCGGGGTCAAAACTTTGGGAGGACAGCCGCGGCTTAGCTTCGGTTCCCTTAAGCAAGTAGACTTTAGTATTTCTAAACTTTTTGCAGCGGAATTCAAATGAATCCAGATCTAGAGGATTATAGAGTTAGGATTTAAAGAGAATTTCTATAGACAAAGCATACCGGATTGAATTAGAAAGCAAGAAGAAGCTAATGCCCATGTGAGTCTTCCTATAGGGTTCAGAGGATGAACCTCAGAACAGGGTCAAAGGGAAAGAAAAGAAAGCTTGGGTTTATGACCCAGTAGCAGAGAGATTATAGAGAGGCCAAAACGGAAGACTGTCTCTTGATGACTCCTTTTCCTATTAGAAAATGTTTGATTGGGGGAAGGTAGGTTGAAAAGCAACAAATCAGATAACAAATCAAATAAAACGAACAGAGCAGCATGAAGAAGCACGAACTTAGAGAATTGATGGCCGACCAAATAAATACCTTTAAGAAACAAACATAAAATATTGCAGATTATATAAGCGAAAATCGGCAACCCAATAAAACAATGTTAACAGCGTCGTGTTCCAAAGGTCCATCGAAAATTAGGAAAGCTTCTATAAATCCGAGAAGTGGTTTAAGAAAATTGGAAACTTACCAACGATTTTCCCCAAAAATAGCTCCTCATTTCTCGGACCCTTTATTTTCATATGATGTGTCTGCATGTTCAAGCCAACCTGTCTGACTAAAACCATATAGCTCTCGTGAAGGGACAGTGTTAGACCGTTCATATCAGCATACTCCTCCTATTTTTTTATAAACTATTTTTACCAATGTGGTTAATATCAATACAAATAAAAATATAAGAAATAAAAGTATGTAAAGTTTTAAAAATATTTTTATACAACAAATTTAAAAAGTAATATCATATTATTTTTTCTTTTATAAAAAATAATTTTAAAAATATTTTTTAAATATTACATAAAATGTTACACCATATTTTATAAATAAAATTAAATAAATTTTTTAAAATATAGCTTATAAACAAGATCAAAGAATATTACACAGGCGAGGGGTTATGAGACATGAGAGCGTCCTAGTCGAGAGCAAATTCCTGCGTTCCCCGCTTCTAGTCACTCGATCTTGTCCGTTGGATTGAGGCCTGCAAAAGAGTCCATTTTGACTAGGTCGATGGTAATTTAGTCATTTTGCAGGAAAATGTTTGGAAATAGTTCTCCGTCTTGTTTCTCAAAAGGTTCTCATGCTTTCTTCAGTGTACACTTTCTCATAATTTGTTGCAATTAACTGTTAGTTCCAATAATAATTAATATGAAAATCGAGAAGAAAATGCACTTGAATCCTCATCGTATTAAATGTTTGAAGTATCCTGGGTAACAAGAACAACCATGTAAGTGGTGTACTTTTCAATTTATTTGTACAAACTTCTTTGAAGGGTTAAAGAATAGATACGCCTTCCATTTCATTTGTTTTTGGTAAAAGCCAATTATTTTTCAAAAAATTGGATATTCAATTTCGTATGTAAATGGTGTACTTTTCGATTTATTAGTAGTTGCAAATCGAGTTTTGTGGGATAAGTGTATCCAATGGACGTGTGGAATGAATAATTACGTCATCAATGACGAGTTAGAAATAAGGGAAATCATCTATGCTGGGCAATTTTTCATTATAGAACCAAGAGTGTAGAATCAGCACAACTTGCGTCTCTTAATATTTATGTCCCAATCATCTCTCCTTTATCTTATCCAAATGCACCCAATTATGAGTTGTGATATAAGATTTCTGCTTTCCCTCTCTCTAGAACTTTTTTTTTTCCCACAAAATGTTTAATGTTAGAGTGGTAATTTGTTATCCCCAGGTTAAATATCTTGTTCCTATTTGATAAATTCTACCCTTGAGTCAAATTGACGTGGCTGAGTGAGATCACCTTGCACTTTAATTTTCTCTATAATTTTTCTTAATGGGTATGACAAAGCACGCGCGTGCACATATATATTTTAAGTATCCGAAATATAAAACACGGCGCATCAGAACCGTTTAGTCATCAAGATTTGGGTTTTATACCTAACCAACTATAAGCTTGATTAGTTTTCACACTGTATATATGCGGTCGCTGCTACAGAGAAAGCAACAGGGAGTTAGGTGCTGAATTGATGGGTTGTATTGCAATTTTTTAATGTTGTTTAAAAATTCAAATTTAAATTTTAACACTGTTTTAGATTATCAAATAAAAAGGTGCTACCACTACTTTTAGCTTTATAATTCACCTGCATAATTAATGTTTTCTCTCTCTCTGTTTTTTTTTTTTTTTCTATTCTCTTCTCTCTCTCTCGATGAAAAGATTCCGTTGTTAGTTTGGTCATGAGGGCTCACAGGCAAGTTTTATCGCTCAAAAAAAAAGACTGTAAGAAACTGTGTTGCAATGGGTTGAACTAGTCAAAGCCCTAAATTGCTAGGCTTGATAAGGCCCATTTAATTATGGGCCGTGGCTACAAGAAAAATATGCTGTTTTTTTTTTCCTTGAGAACAGCTTTTTAAACAGGGGGGGGGGAGGCTATGTTGGTCCAGATTCTTGTATTTGCTTTTCTTAATGAATGTTTATACGGAGGAAGAGAAGTTCTTGTACAGAAAAGGAAAAATTATGTTTGCCGCCGAGCAATTCATCGTGTGGTGTGTGTGGACGAAAAGCTTCCCTTCATTTGTTGCTACAACGCTAAAGCCTGAAGGACCATCTTTTTCTTTTGGCCCCTTAGGCTGGCTCTCTCAAATATAACTGCTCATAGTTCTAAAACGCAACAGCGGCTTCCTGAAAATGAATTGAAAGACAGTGGAACATGAAAAAGCAATCGATATGCAAAATTAGCGGCCAGTAATATTTGAATTCACCATCTTCAGCGTCATCCGTTGAGCAGAGTCTAATTATACAATGATGTCCCAACGCAAGTGTGTTTTAATCCGCGTCCCTAATTCGATTATAGATAGGAACCGGTAGGTAGGATGTCGTTCTAGTGCTATATAGTAATTGTCCCCTCATTAATCAATTCATGCTTTGCGCAAAAGTGACACGAAGAAATTGCATTAGGCAATCCACATATAAGCTTATATAGGCCCATATATAGCCAGTTCTGGCAAGCAACCAGGACTTGAAATAATTTTATAATCACAGAGGGTAACATTAACATCCCCGGCACAACAGAATGGCGGCATGTTAATTTAGAATATTACAAGTGTTTACTGACTTTGATTTGAACATCCCATCATCTTCTGAAAGTTGCAGGCCGCAAGATTTGGATAGGCTTGAGTAAAACAGGGCCAATAATTGGAAACATGATAAACACCGATTGATGCTTCGCATGAGCTAGTAGTATTCCATCTGAATTTCACTTTGAACTCCACATTTACCCTGGTTTTTGTATTATAATTAAAATAATAAAAGCCCTGCTATACATACATATACACACAACAACGGAACAGTTAAAGAACTTGTGTTTGCAGTGTCGTTTTCCAGGCAATAAAGTTCTTCGTGTCTAATTTTAGTTGGTTTGGATACAGTTATGTGCTCTCCCTGGTACTGGCCATTGGCAATTATCAAGGTCCATAATCATGAAGCTCTATATCTTAATTGGTTCTTATGCATGAGCGATTGACTATAAGTAAATAAATATTAGGGTAAACTTACAATGGCTTATAATTAGTTCAGAGAATTTAATCGTTGATATTGTAAAGTGAAATTAATTAAAGAGGGGAGCTGTGTTTCAGTAGGTAAAATGTCATTATCAAATGGCACTAAAGGTATATCAAAGCGCAGAATATGGGAATGTCGCTTTAATTTGGTTGAAACTGTGAGACAAGAAAGAAAGCCAGTTGAGTAATAATTACCAACGAACTTGTGCTACGCCTATTTAAAAAATCACAATTTATCCTTGGCAGGTTTATTTGAGGTTGGTTTTGTTTTGTATGCCTACGAGCGCAAGAAATTGAACTCCGCTACGTAAAAATACACTTATAGTCTTACGGGTTACTTCATCCCTGTCGGATAACATCCTCTTCAAGTTTCAGCCAAGGCTGCTCAAAATTGAGAAAGACGCGTACATTAATTTCCCGAAACAGTCTCACAAATTCAGAAAAGCATGTGAAACGATAATAACAGCTGGTTCAATAGAAGGGATGTTCATAAGAGTCAAGGCTTTATTTTCATCCACATGCATGCATGTGACTCGATCAACATACTTGTATCAGAGAAAAGTGGGGCTGGTGAAAGTGAAATTGTCAGAGACTTTTTCCACTAACATGAGAAGAGCCCATTTCACTCTTCCCTCCTTGTGTTGGTGAAAAGTCCGAAGAAAGGGCTGCTGAGCTTTGGAATATCATTTTCGCAAGAATTAATTGAAGCTAGCATCAGTTGTAACAGAATTCATTTATTGAGGGGGACAAAAATGGTAAGCTGAGGGAAAATTAGGGTTTGCGAGCTGCCCATAAAAAGATGTGTGTGTGTGTGTGTAATATGTGCGTGATAGAGAGAGAGAAGTATGAGTACAAGATACATAGCTGGATAAGTAAATATAGTCAAAGTAGTTGGGTTGGGGAATTTGAGGTCTTGTTGATGTCAAATTAGGGTGTGGGGGTTATGATGGTGATGAAAGTGGTGGGTTGCTTAGGTTACGTGGGAAAGTGAGAGAAAAGGTATATTATGGTTTTCATATAAAGACAGTTTGAAGGAAGAATTGATGTTTGCCTGTGCAAGTAACTGAAATGTTTGCATTCACTGTTCGAAAGCTATTGCAAACCCTTCTGCTTCGGCTTCCCTCACACTCGTACATAGAGTTATAGACAAGACCAAGGAGATCCAGCGTCGACGATTATCATTTTAACTTACGGTCTAATATTCATGGGATGAACACACACAATATAAAACAAATTTTGTCCTTAGCATAATAAACTGTCAACTAAACCCGTCTTCAAGTTGATTAATCACTCATTTATTCCATTAAAAAATGTAAGGCATTTTTAATCTTTCAAGATATAATTATTATTATTTTTTAAAATATCCCTATTAAATAGATAACTTTATATTTATTCTAAAGTAAAACATTCTATTAAATAGAATAAATATGAAAAGATATGATTAGTTTGAAAATAAATAAATACTTTATTAGAGGTGAGATTCGATTAAAAATACTTTATGTTTTTAAGCAATGGAATATGAAGAATGGTATATTGTTCATACGATTGTTTACTCACGGTGGAAAGTTAAGTTTCCATTCTAAGCGCAAAGGGAAGATGGAGTTTCGATTTGTGTTGAATTAGCAATGAAATAGAGAAAAGTTCACATATGATGAATAAGAAAATTATAGACAAAGGAAATCGTATCTCGTAGCAAAGAAAAAACTTCTTATTTATACGGTTGGACGGCATGTGAAGGGTTTCTGATAAATATTGTTGTTGGTGAGCAATTACACTGCGTTTTAAGTGCGTGTAGGATTTGTGAAACGCGAGCTTTTCATTAATTATGGTCTGGTCGTGTAGAGTATACCTGCTTTGTCTTGACGGATCAATTGGGTTTGTTATTTGTGGGATTGAACCGATCGCTTGACCAGCCTAAATATTTTTATGAGTTAATTCATCTTTCATACTTCAGACCCTTGGTTTTAGCCCTCTTACGACATAGTGACAGAAAATTACTGCAATATAATGATGGGATTAATTCACAAGAATCAGACAGTAACGTTAGTATATCCTGGACAATGAAAATTGTGTATCGTCTTTTATTATTTACCTTGGAGGTCCAGCGCATTTCTCATCCGTCAGAGTTGAACTTCAAGTTTCTGTTGCAGACCTGCAGTCCTTTTCGAATTTGAGAGATCACCTCAATGTAACTTGATCACATTCTTTTCTTCGATCTTAATTGAAATTTAGTCAAGTCCTCGCACCGTTAATTTCGACAGGTCATCACATTTTGGTCTACTATTTCTGAGGGACATCCAAGTGAACGTTTGGTGCTTTCAAAAAGAAAGTATGATTTTTACAGTGTGCACACACATACAAAAGGAATAATTCTGCCGAACGATATTATTTTTTAAACAACGAGACTTTTAAAACACAGGTTAGTTAATCCATGATAATAAGGCATAAATTAACTGAAAGAATTATCGGTTTTTAAAAACATCAGAACTGCTGTACTTGGTCTTGTTAACAAGATAAAATTAAAAGCAATTTTTTTTCAGCCAAGAAATTAAAGGCAATTCAAGTTGATCATTACCAAGAAGTCAGCACGAAAGAGTCATTTTTGGCATATTCTTAAGGACCTATTTTAACCGGGCTTTTTTTTTTTTTTGAGGTATTAAAGAATAACTTATTTAATTAGACAAGTTCTATAAAAGACTCATGTAAATTATGCTTATTAAGTAATAATCATAATTAGAATTAATTATAACAAATATTTATATGAGTTGGATCTCAAGAGCACACCAGAGTCAGGATATGTACTTATATATGTAATGTAATATTTTTAGTTTTCTATTGACAAATTAATTTTAGTTTTTTTTAAATAATTCAATGTGGTAATTACATATACCTATGGACAGATATATTTGTCAAATAATTCATTGCAAATATTATCTATGATTGCATGTGATTGGAGATCAACTTATGAAAATTGTGTTTCCGCGATGTGATGGAGCAAATAGTCAATATAGGGCACCCAAGATTAAAGAAATGATCAACCCTATAAGGCAATTAAATTGAATCAATTTAATTGCCTTATCCACTATAGCCCTGGATCCATATATATCTCAGCTGCTGAAATATTTCTAATAAAAATGAGACTCGAATTGATCTGATATGATTGGCATGTTAGTAGGATGGTCTAGGTAAGATCCACCAATCGCTGATAAATAATTTTATACTACCAGTGAACTACTAGATGTTTTTACTGTTTCAGATGATGAATTTGTAATTAATATAATTCATATATTTTTTTTAGATGGGAGAGGGAGAAGAGTAACTGATTTCGTGGGGGTATGAAACCTCAATCGGTTCAGAAATGAAGAAATATTTGAATAATAGTTGCTTCACAAAGTGTTTCGATGTTTTATTTGACTTGCCATCTGCATGGAATTGAAGTATGGAAAACAAAGGCAGACGGTTTATAAGTACTTTTCTAGTTGCTACACTTACACGGCATTTGAATTAATCCTTAAGATTATAAATTGATCATGACAGCTCTTTCATCCCCATTACAGTGACCCCTAAAATCCAATGCATGTTTCTTAAGAATTGCCCGCCTTGACTCTCTCATGTTTACCCGGTTCGTTGGGTCTCTTAATTATAATTAATTAATTAATTAATCTTCTGCATTTTCACTGTTAGAGATAACTTCTTGGCTTCTTCTTTTTTTTCTTTTTTTTTTTAATCAGGAAGCTTACGCACTTTGGGCCTTTTTTCTTGCCAACAATACGCAATTTAAAATGAACAGATAAAATTAGTTGTCATCACTGCTCATTAATTAAACCCTTTCTATTTTTGGTTACACTTAACCATGGATCGGAAAAGAGAACGATATACGCATTGAAACGAATGTTAATCAGTCTTAAGGTTGGTATTATCCATGGATCAAAAAGCGTACGCAATAGTCCGTATTCTACACACACAATTTTTATTTCTTTAGTTATATTCTATTTTTCCATTATTATATTTAAGTTTTCCGCCCTTAACTCCCTCTCATGCATCCGTACATAGATAGAACTTTTTTAATCAATTCGCGAGAATTAAGAATCAATCATGTTAGTTATTAGCATATTTAGTTTTAGCACACACGAGAATCAAAGGTGTTAGTTTTAGCATATTTAGATTCAGCACACACGAGAATTTGTGTTATTCTTCCACAATAATCTATAACATTTGATGGCATGTCTTAAAGAATGAATTTTTAGCATATTTAGATTAATTTAAGCATATACTAATGGTATTTTTGTTTTCAGAAAAGGCAATGCAGCAGATAAAATAGACAAAATCTTAGATAAAGAACCAACGCAAATTGCTCAAAAGAGAATGATGTATGTATATAAATGTACGTACATGTATACGTACTTTGCAGCGCCTTTGAGTTTCAAGATTATTTAGAATTAGCATCTGACCAATGATATATGGTATTTAAAACTCTCTCCCTGGTGGAATGTATTTTAAGTTTGTTGAACTCTGAAAGGGAAAAATTGAAACGTGAATGATTAAGTGTGTAAGGACGAAATTATTTCTCTTGTGAGGAGACGGAAGATCAAGTTTCATTAATTAATTTCTATTAATGCTCGATCGTATAGAATATGTAGCACATATATTTAGTAGTTGACATCCTACATGGTGCCTATTACTTAATACGCTCGTGAGCAAAGTAGCAAACATTGATCTGACCACTAATAAGTACCTGAACGATATCGGAAAGCATGTGGATGCTTTTAAAGCTTGCCCAATTTAACATTACCATGTTTCTAAATTAGAGCATGACCACGTTTTGAGCTTACCAACTTTCTAATGCATTAATTAACTTTTTCTTTTTCATATGCTACAAACGCTTCTACGAGTCAGAAGCAGGATGAGCCGGAAAGAGCATATAATTGTTCAATTCAATGCGAATTGATTGCCTGAATGCAGACTGTAAATCTTTCAGATATTATTGCTTTACAAATTAGAGGCGATTTTTACCCTTTTTTTTTTATGGTTCTTCTGCATTTCCCAGATGAAAACCAAAATCGTGTACGTATCACTTTCTCCTTTACTCGTGCAACCACAAACATATAATAAACATTAATAATCAACGAGGGTATGAATTGAAAATCTATACGTCGTGGCTTTCGGAATGTGAACGTTTTAATTTTTGAAGTATAAGATATTTTAATGTAATATATATGTAAATTAAAAAAATGTCGTTATATTTTATAATAAGTCAAAACCTCATAATCAAATTTGCCAACAATTAATTAAATTAGTTAAGTAATTTAATTATGTTGACTGTGTGCTAGTTAAGATATATACATATATATATTTATTTGCCGAATATATATATATATATATATATATCAGCCGAGAGACTTGTGTAAATGTCACAATTACAGTTGCTTGCGTTAAGGAATTTGGTGTGAGAAATTGAAGATGTGGAAAATTAATTATAAGCCAGTCTCAGATCAAGGAGAGACGTCCCTTTAGCAAAAACTATACGGTAACCAAACAAGAGGGTTTGATATAACGTGGTACCATGGTTTTCGATAGAATATATATTTAGTTAGAATTTAGAAAACGAGGAGGGAGAAGAAAAAAAGGGAATTTGATGTGGAAATGAAGGACCAAAGATGACACAAGAAGAAGGATCTTTTGCTGCTAAATGGTCTACATATATTATACACATGTATACATGTACACATAGGGCATAAATAATCAATATTCAATCGTGTGAAGACAACAAAAGTGACTTGCCATCCACAACCCTAAACCAACCCCCTGCCCCCCTCCACTTTCTTATATATCTTCTTTCCGACTTCTCTCTCTCCTGTGCTTCATCTTCAAGTTTAATTCTTACAACAATTAGCTAACTGCTTCCCCTTCCATGGAGGATTCTTCTTCATCTGCGGTCGAGGATGCCAAGACTAGTTGCCCTCGCGGTCACTGGAGACCCTCCGAGGATGAGAAGCTCCGGCTGCTCGTTCAACAATATGGTGCCCAGAACTGGAATTCAATCGCCGAGAAGCTCCAAGGAAGATCAGGTACAACAATATCGATCTCCTACATCTTTCTTTCTGCTTAATATTTATCTTTATATTCATATATGCTTGAGAGTTTAATTAAGAGAAATGGAAGTCAAAATAAAGAAAACTTTAGTTTGGACATTTTCCTTCATTTAAAGCTAATTAATTGAACCATAATTTAATTTCTTTCATTTTTTTTCCCTTTATCTTGATAGATTCGATCATTCATGCGGCCGTTGAACTCTCTCGAGTTTCAAAAGTTTAGAACTTGCCATGTATCTATTAATTGTAACTTGAGAGCTATCATGTTATTCATATACATACATGTACTTCTGTAATAGCTAAAAAGTCAGCCGGTATCTCATCCTCAAAGAATTTCAACCATGCGTTGAAATTCCAAATAATTTTCTCTTTGTGGTCCCTTTTATGTAGGGAAAAGTTGCAGATTAAGGTGGTTTAATCAGCTTGATCCTAGGATTAACAGAAGGCCGTTTACAGAAGCGGAAGAAGAGAGGCTACTTGCAGCTCATCGAATCCATGGGAATAAGTGGGCACTCATAGCAAGGCTTTTTCCAGGTCGTACTGATAACGCTGTGAAGAATCATTGGCATGTTATAATGGCGCGCAAGCAAAGAGAACAATCTAAGTTATGCGGGAAGAGAAGCTTCCAAGATGTTTATAACTATAATGATTCTAATTACAGTTGTCCCAAGAAAATCTCATCAAACCCTTATCAAGACGTGTTAATTAGCTCCAGAATGAATGGGTTAGAGAATGCCAGATTCTTTGATTTCCGTAACTTTAAACATAAAGATAGAATATTTGCCGATTCTCCCTCCACTTCTTTGGCTTCTTGGAGTTTTGCTACCTCATCATCAAACGGTTCTCCTGCTGCGGATTCATTTAGAAGAGATGGCAGAGATTTCTTCAATTCTCACTCCAACAACCAATACGTTGTATCAGAAATATCGAAAGGTTCAGATAGGTTTCATTACAGAATTTATCCGAATTCTTCAGCAAATTCCAGGAGAGCCGTTCCATCAAATGCTTTTGGACTTTTTGGTTCCAACGAAGATGGAAGGACAAAGAGGGACTTCCCCAGTTTCTGTGATAGCTCGACATTCACCAAGGTACGGGCTTCTACGGATCGGCGAGAGCTAGAAGATCCCGAACCTATTGAACACAAAGAAGTTCCTTTTATTGATTTTCTTGGTGTCGGCGTCTCTTCGTCATAACAACATAGTACAGTATGTGTTAACTTCATGAGAGAACACGAGACCAGCTTTCTAGTTTTCATTACGTGACTTCAGCATTTCATTCTCTCTCTCTCTCTCTCGGCCTTTTTTAATAACATGCATGTGAACTTATACTTAATTTAATTGTAAGAGCCACTAGGATGTGATGTGAGGGTTCTCGTTTTCTAAAAGTCTTGTAAGCAGGGTAGTCAGGAGCCCAAATTTTCCGTTCTCATGAAATATTAAGCAAATCTCTTCTTGTTCCGTATCATGATAGAATATTGTACTTTGTGTCACTAGTTTGCTGAGGAATGCGTTTACTGCATGCGCGTGCTGGCTTCAGAAGAAAAGGTGATGAAAATTTGCAGGTTTGTGACCGTCTTTTTTGCCTCTGTGTGTGTAGCAGCAGTACGCAGTGCATTGCTAAATTCAATGGATAATGCAATTGTCACTAATCGCTTGCCTGTGATACGTATCAAATTACTGCTACTTATATGCGCGATTAATTACTACTAATAAATTCACCATTATGATATTTCTTGGTCGTGAGATTTGTGAGTTTGAGAAATAAATGCCTACTTTTTACTTAAGAAGATCATGGTATTAATGCTATTTAATCAACTCCATGCACGGTGTGTCTCGTAGAATTAATCTATACTAGAAACCACTACTTAATTTGTTTATTAAAAGGCGTTTGTTTTTGACCTGGCCTAAAACCCTGCACAGTTCCATCGATAAAGCTACCTAATCAAACCCGAAACCTTGGCTTAGTCCGAGAATCCTAGTGAAACCAAATTTATAATGAGTTGAGTTGGGTCTAACAAAAAACCCAGGCAGATGAATGACACTAGATTCAACAATTAGTGGCCGGTTGGTTGGAAATTGCCTGGTTATGAAGAGGGAAATTCTATTAAAGCAAAACAGCGTCGACTTGAGTTTTATTTTAATGAACAGAGACGAGTTTTCCCATGATGGTGCGAAGCATTCGGCGTTAATTAGCCTTACTTCATGGGAGAACCGGAGAAAGCTCATTTGCACCGAAGGTGTTTGTCTGGGTTTGGTGTGAGTCTGGGGTTCATGAGATGTAAAAATTTAAATTCTTTAACATTGAGATTGGCAAATTTATGTAAATTTTTTTAATATTTTTATTCATTTTATTATTTTCCTTCACATAAATTTACATATCTCAGTTTCAGAGTATTTAAATCCATACACATAAGAGGACTCGTGCTTCGGCCAAAAATAAAATCCACAGGAAAAGAGGGGCAAAAGTAATTAATCACGCTGGCACTTCAATCTATCTGCCTGCTCTCGTAATTATTCCATTAGTGGTCCTGTTTTCGTCTTTCTCCACCCCCCCCCCCCAAAAAAAAAAAAAACCTATTCGGTCTGACCCGACCCCGTTACGATGGCTTTAGGCGGTTCCACCACTTCCGCTGAGCCTGCTGAATCCATGCACGGTCCCCACAGATTGGAGTATTTAAGAAGGTTTCCATTTGAAAATTTCTCATGGCGACCATTCATATTTTATCACACAGTTTAATTTAATTTTTCCAGAAAATTTATTTTTTTTATCAGAAAGGGGGCAAAGCCCAAACTTTTATTCATCCATGAAATTTATTTTATTCAGGTTTTAAATTATTATTGAGCCGGATTCTATATTTTAGACGGAATAGAAGAAATGGGAAATGTCCCTGCGATGTAAATTCAATTCAAATATGTATATATGTATGTATGTAGGGCATGGCAAAACAATCAAATATAGGCCAGGGCTTGAAGAAGCATTTGGTGTGGTGAGCGGTGAGTTGTGTCCTTTGCGCAACGGAACGCGTGGATGCTGCAGTGCAGCTACACCCGTATATATTGTCAACATGGTATAATTGAATTGAAGATTTTATGATGTAAAACGGTCGCCGGAATCAAACTTTGATGTCATAACTGTCAATTTGGACTTATGCGTGCTCGTTCTTAAAAATTTGTACATTAATTACTTGTTGATATATATATATATATATATATATTTTGCATGTAATGAATTTGTAATGTTTTTTCACTTATTTGTTAGTCACTATGGTTCGGTTTGCCACCGGTGTCCGGTTCACGTCTTCTCCTCGGTTCTTTTTTCTTTTCTTTTCTTTTGTTGGCGTGCGACAAAAACCTGTACGTCTGATCTGCTTGAATACTCCTCCTTTTATGAAAATTCTTTGGGAAGGAAACAAAACAAAGGAACTCTCTCCTACTTGTGATTTCTCTATCTCTTTATGATTTGTATTGAAAAATTTGCACACATGATTCAGGATGAATTTAATTAACGAGGTTTTTGGAGACCTATCGCCTTAATAGATGGGCCATCCTTTTTTCATTTATTCTTTATTGATGACTTGATCACTTATGCTTTCGAACTTCAATTTATGCATGTTTAGGTTTTGAAAATATTAGAATTACTTGTTCAACCTGGGATCCCATGGATTTGTTATATTATATACTTTATTTCTTATGAATGTTCAATCTTTTCTAGTATACTAGCATTCAATAATTAGTTTTAATCATTTATATCATGGTAGAATATATTCTATCATGACAGGGTACACTTATACACATTCAATTTGAAATATTTTTATATGTTTAATTTTATTAACCATAATAAATTTTCAACTTTGATCTTTTTTCTTTCTACTATAATTATCTCTTTTAACTGTAGTTAAATTATTTTTTTAACCATGGTCAAGTAACTAGGATAGTTTATCCCTGATTACCATGATAAGTTACGGAGTTATTGTTAAGTAATTGGAATAAATTAGGTGATCATTACATGATGATGCTCTTGCAAGCAAGATCAGGGCATGCCTGATGGGCTGGAAATTAACATGCATGCATGGAATAAGGGATTCAAGGAGGTTTGCCTCTTCTCTAACACATCAAAAGTAATTAGAATCATTGAAGAGGGTCCTGTGGAGTTGCATGGTTGTTGTAGTTTGATCCTGGAGATCCGTGGTATTCTTCGACCGGATTGGCAAGTGTGAATTCTTCAGATATCTCATGGTGCGAATGATGAAGCTGATTGTCTGGCAAAAAAACCTGGCTCTTGCTCCCGGCTACTATCCTCTCTACATATATACATGGAGGATCCTGGTTGGAGGAATCTTCTGAAACGATCGACCTTATTTTCTATTCGCTTTCTGTTTGTTTTGTTGCTTTCCTTTATATATATATTTTTTAAAAAAACTGTACATCTGATTTTGCACCAACCTTATCTATATTATTTATGTGATATGAAAATAATTGAATATATGGTTGACGATAACGAAGAGTTGGTTTTCAAAATTCAGAAAGATTTAAATTAAATAAAGAATTAAAATATTTAACTCTTTAACAACAAATTTCTTGCTCGTATAGATATTTTAAAATGATGTTGTTAGAAACTTTCAAAATATTCTTCTGGACAGGTTTTACAATGAAGTTGTAACCAATAATAAAACTTTTATTCTCTTAAATTTGCTTTATTTATATATTTGACTTCTTAAATTTAATTTTTATCAATACAGTCCCATAAACTTTTTTTCAGTTGTTGTCATATTAGGTTTTTAGATTTTGAAACATATCAATAACTTTACACGTAGTATATGTTATTAAATAAAAATAAATTGGCTTTTAAATTAATTTGACGTGTAAAATTTTATAGAAAAATAAAATTTATATCTTAATTATCATGTGATTCTAGAACATATTCAACTTTCAAATGCCGTGGTGAGATCATGTCACAAATGTCAACACCCCTTGACGCTTGGATTCGCAAGATCAACAAGAGAAGCTATAGTGGAGTTTCGAGACTAATTCGAGAGCGCGCAGGCGTACTTGCAGATGAAAATAAATTCCACACTTTCCCCAAGCCAACTAACTAACATACTTTCACAGTCCATTATTTAAAGTTTGACCAAAACAGAATATACTTTCAAAATCAAGTGTGATATTTTTAATTCCGATCTGGCGCATCTTCTCCATCTCGTTTTTAGTTACTGATGCGTATATTAGTCAATTAATTAATTGCATATTTATATATATAATTATTTCTAATATCCAGCATCATTGTATCATGGCTTTTAGCTGCGGCAGCCACCATATTTGAACTTGTGAAAAGGTGAGGTGGGTGGGAAATAAGAATTTTGATTGCACGACCTGCAGAAACCGACAATTTGGAATTATCGTCAATTTTATTTTACTTTTTGGGTGAAAGAATCATCACCAATTTCAGACACGGACTTTCCATTTCCAATCCGCAGCAACGTCAAATAATAATTGCTTGCTTCAGGCTACAAAATCTTTTCTGCGATTGCAAGACCTCGGCAGACGGAGAGAGTTGTATAAATACTTAAATGTACTTATCTTACGCTGCAGCTTTATATTTGAGTGCGTGAATACGCCATTCTTTTTCCCCACAAAACTTTGACGTGTAAAGACACCATGCAATGCTCACAACTACTAAAATTAAGGAAGGACTTTTTTTTTAATTTCATTATTTATTTTTCTCCAATCTCGGAGAAATAAATGACATATTTTATCATAATTATAAAATATGTTATTATTTTTTTATTACATTATTCCTTTGATTTCGTTCAATATTTGTGTTTAATAATCACTAAAAAAATAAATATGTATATTTAATAAAAATAAAATTAAAAATTTAATAAAATTTTAAATAAAATTAATGAGTTTATGACTTTCAGTTATTCTGAAAAAATATGTTTAATGTGAAACAAGAAGATAAGTGTGTGTGTGTTAAAACAGCTGGAGGAAGGAGAGGGGGATCGTTTGAAATTGTTTTTATTTTATTTTTAAGAATTAATATTTTAAAACATGTTTTGAGAAAAAAATAAAAATAAGTGTTTTCCTTATTCTCTTTTATTCTTTAAAACAATAATCACAGAATATTTAAGGGTTATTTTTATTTTTTGTTCTCTATAATAATATTTTATTTTTTTTATTTTTTAAAATATTTTTTAAAAAATAAGCTATTAAATAAATTTTTTATTCTCTTATTTTAAAAAATAAAAAATTATTTTTAGAATAGATTTTCAAACAGATTCAAAAATAATTAAAGTTTTCGGTTTCATCATGGCGGTAGCTTATACAAGAAGATGCATAATTTAAGCAAATCAATGTCAGGGGTGTCAGTTTCGCACCGCCCCAATGATACATTGGTAAATGTTTTTCTCGTGATTTTCCAGGATCTGACAAAGCTAATGGAGATTACTGGCTTTAAAATGAAAGCGG